AGAATAGAGAGGATTGGAGGTGAAAGCCAAGAGGCAGGGAGGAGATCAAAGGTGCAGGTAGTAGGAGAAGGTGTTGGATAGAAATTGTAAAGCACCTACCTCTTCTTGTTATTGTCATTTTCCCTGGGCATAATTCTGCCTACCGAGAATGCCTTTCATCGCTTTCTGAGAACTTTAATGCCTGGTTTTACTGCTGCATTGGGCAAGGTTTCTGAGAGTGAATCTGTCTTAATTATAACATCACTTCAGGCTAGATCTAGTGAGTTCTTGTTTGTGTATACGTGAGTTCGCAAACGTGATAATGAGTTTAAACTTTTTCCACAAAACGTTATAAGGACTCAAGCTAATCATAATACTTAGAGCTTGTATAGTGCTGTTTGTGTTCAGGTGCTAATTACAAGATGCAGCTGCAAAAAGGCTAATACAGCGGTTCCCAAACTTTTGAGGGTTGCACCCCCTTAACCCCTTCCTGCCCCCCCCTGCCCTCCCCAAAGCTGGGGCCGAGAGCGGGGCCACGGCTCTGGGGGATGTGGGACGCGGCCAGGGATAAGGGAACCTATGGGGGCTGGCACAGGCCCCGCTGCTCCCCCCTGGATGTTCCTTCACGCCCCCCCTAGGGAGGCACACCCCACAGTTTGGGGAGCTCTGGGCTAATAGTCTGGGGTGAATTAAAAGGAGTGTCATAGGTACGACACGGGCTGGTGAGGCCTAAGCTGGAATCCTGCATCCAGTTCTGGGTGCCACACTTTAGGAAAGATGTGGATAAATTGGAGAGAGTCCAGAGGAGAACAACAAAAATAATAGAAGATTTAGAAAACCTGGCCTATGGGGAAAGGTTAAAAAACTGGGCATGTTCAGTCTTAGAAAAGAAGACTGAAGGGGGACCTGATATCAGTCTTCAAATGTCTTAAGGGCTGTTATAAAGAGGATGGTGATCAGTTGTTCTCCATGTCCACTGAAGGTAGGACAAGAAGTAATGGGCTTAATATGCAGCAAGGAAGATTTAGGTTAGATATTAGGAAAAAACTTTTTAACTATAAGGATAGTTAGACTCTGGAACAGGCTTCCAAAGGATCCCCATCACTGGAGGTTTTTAAGAACAGTTGGACAGACACCTGTCAGGGATGATCTAGGTTTACTTGGCCCTGCCTCAGAGCATGGGGCTGGGCTTGATGACCTCTTGAGGTCCCTTTCAGCCCTACATTTCTATGATAGCTATGATTCTATAAAATTCTGCCAACACTACTCTGGGGTGCTGCTTTCCTATTAAAAAAAGCAAACCTTGAATGACTTTTATTTTAGATTATGGGAAAACAAAACACGGTAGAACAAAAATAAGATCCCTGCAAAGGAGAGCACAGTGTATGTATCTCCCTTATAATAGGCTGGAATCACTCGAAATACAAAATGGATGCTGTTGTGTAATGCACATATTTCACAAATTTAAAGGTACATTACACAGAAACTAAAGACATCATGGTTTCAAGCTACACACACATACTTGTGATGTAAGTAAGAATAATTATCCTCATTTTACAGATAGGGAAACCGAGGCAGAGAAGTGAATGACATGCCCAAGGCCAGCAAGTCAGTCATGAGACCTGCATTAGAACTCAGGAATCCTTCCTTGCAACCTCATTTTTAATCCTCCAGAGTATACCATCTACCCAAATATGTGCTAAAAATCGAGCTACCCACAGTCCTAAAAGGTAGTGTCTACCCTCCAGTTATTTTTTTACAATTACAGTTGCATCTGGCCAGAAGCCCCATGATGCCATTTACAGGGAGTCACTTTTCAGAGTAGAATTGTTTTCTTGAAACACTTGTTGCCTTGAAAAGATTTTTGAAAAATCGGTAAATGCACAGGAAGTTGAAAGCGGGACAAGAACAATATTTCTATAACTCCGGTATAACTAATTGGATTGAGACATTCTGAGAAACGATGCTGTAGGAAACAAAGGATATGCAGTATACAGGTGTAAATCTGGAATAACTCTGTTGAAGTCAAAGCAGATATGCTGGTGTCACTGAGAGGAGAACCGGGCCCAGAGATTCTGTCATTTGCAAAGTAGGAACAATTGCATATACATACAGTGCAAGTGGAGATTCAACAACTGGATTTTTAAAATTTTTCTGGGTGCAGCAAAATTGTAGGGGAAAGTCACTCATTTGGGGCCCAATTCTGCAAGGTGTTGACCACCTCCTGAGAGCTATTGAGTGTTCCCAACTGCTATGGAAGTGCATGGGAATTGAGGGTGCTCAACAGCTCTCAGGATCAGCCAATGGAGGTGACCTACAAAATGACACCAATGTAACTGCTGGTCCATTTAAGAGCAAACTGAAAACCAGGCCTCAGTAGCATGTATCCTCACTTTAAAATGGAACCTCCACCCATTTAATTCCTTGTCAAACTTCCCATTGACTTTGGAAGGAGTTAGGGTCAAACCCTTTGAATACGTGTTTGCATGTGCATATGTATGCCAGGGGGGATTTAAAGGAGTCAGGATTAACAGATTAATAGCACAACAGTTTAATTTGGAAAGAATTTGACTAAGAGGAGTTTTGATAAAGTTAAAAGATTAAAAGGAGCAAAAGAGTAAGACGCCACTGACAATGAAAAGAAGACACATTGAAAATGGGGAAAAGGAAATCAATTTTTAATGTAATATTCCTAAGGAACTCACAGTAGGAGAGGCAATTAATTTAGGAAGAGTCAAAATTGGTTTAAACATAGAAAGAACAGCACTTGCAGTTAAATTAGCTAGAATAACAATTACAAGGCCACCAGTTCTTATGCTTCTGGGCATATATTGACCATCATCAGCGGTCAGGAAGAAATGTGCAGCTGTGGTATTGCATGGAAAGAAAGGTGATCAGCTGAGACTGTGAGGATCCATATAAAGTGCACAAAATTATCTCTTGGACTGGAGTATTCTGGGCTGCTAGAGTTGTGATGCTGCAGACGGGGATATCTGGCCATGGTGAATAAAACTGCAATAGTCTTTGCTCTGAGAACCTGTGTCTTTTCTACTAATCACGATAAACACACAAAACACGTTGGCTTCCTGGAGTAGCCCTCTTTATCTTTAGAAACTACATCCCACCTTTCTCACTCTGTGCTTCCTCCAGCTGGCCTCCCCAAACCCAGAAACGTCATATTTGCTAATGATATGTGTGACGCATGGCTAGAAAGGGTTAAACAGCTTGCAGGCTGAATGACCTAAAGCTCATCTTTAAAGTCATGTTAGAAAAGTATGCAAATTATAATTAGGGCCATTAATGCTAAATAGGCTAGAACTTTGAAATGCAAACCTATATTTTAGAAGTAATATTAATGGTGTGTATCTTAAATGCTACCCATAAACAGACAGTTCCTGTCTGTCATTATAACTATTGATTCAGAGATCAAAAGGGAATGTTAACATTTGGATGTCTCTTGGGTAAAATTATGTCATTGTCTATATGTCTCTTCGAAGTTTGTGATAGACTGCCTAATGGATAAATTGCCCTATGTTAATTTGTGTAACTAATTACTGGTGGTATTTAGAAATCAAAAGGTTACATCAAAAGCCTATTGTTTAACCAGGACTGTGTGGTCAAGTGGATGCTAGAACACTGTATAAAAAGACCCTTGGGTCCTGATCCTGTTAATCTCAGATCTGCTTAAGCTTCATTAGGGGAAGTTTGAGTCACAAGACTGAGGTCTCAGTTATGCTGGTACGCCCTGAATATGATATTTGGACATTGGACTATAACCTATGAACTGAATTCTAAAGGAACTCTTTGAAACTATAAAGCTCACCATCTCTGCTATAAAATTATTTGAGCATAAGCTTTCGTGGGCTACAGCCCACTTCTTCAAAAGCTTATGCTCAAATGAATTTGTTAGTCTCTAAGGTGCCACAAGTACTCCTGTTCTTTTTGCGGATACAGACTAACACGGCTGCTACTCTGAAACCTGTCATCTCTGCTATGAATCTAAACCTCAGTGGATTGAACTCATGTCTGTATGTATATTGATCTTTTAACCATTCTCTCGCTCTTTTGGTTTTTAATAAATTTTAATTTAGTTGTATTTGGGTAAGATCTGAAACATTCATTAACCTGGGAGGTAATGTGTCTGATCCTTTGGGATTGGTAGGACCCTTTCTTTTATTTGATGAAACAAGATTTTCAGAAATCATCATGTTTGACTTAGGTACCTGGATGGAGGCCTGAGGCTGGGTCACTTTAAGGGATCTGTATTGTTTGGACTTCTGAGTAACCAGTAGGATAATAAAGAAGCTGTTTCATGCTGGCTTGGTAAATCTAAGTATTGGAATATCCACCAGCTTTTGGGGGATTGTCTGCCCCATTCTTTGCAGTTCACCCTAATTGAGTGACCACAGCTGGCCTCCACTAGGACCCCGGTCACAGTATGGTACCCAGGCCTATAGGAATCTAATGGCTGCTGAGGGAATTTACCCATGATTAGAGTTGGTCAAAAATTCTCCATTAGAATTTTTTCTGTTTTAAAATGCTATTTTGTCAAAATTGAAACTTCCAGTGGAAACATGTCAGTTTGGACAACATTTCATTTTAATAAAATATAAAAGCATTTTTACAATGAAATGTTTTGACTTTTTAATTTAAAACAGAGTTTTGTATCAAAATTTATTTTATTTTGATTTAAAAGTCAAAATTTGAACAAAACGTTTTGATTTTATTGAAATGAAACATTCTAGTTGTGTTCTGTGGAAAATTCTGATTTAGAATGAAAACAAATTTTAAAATTTTTCACAGAGCAAAAATTCTAGTCTCTGCGCAGCTCTACTAACCTAGGCTCCCATGATTCCAAGCAAAATGGTTTAGTCATATTCCATTCTGTAATCATACTGAACTACCCAGACTTCTTGACCTGGGGCTACAGTGAAACTGGGGACCAAGAGATGAAAAGCTCCATATCCCATCCCCTGGCTGTTCTGAGTCATCCAGTCCCCCCAGGAGCTTTGACTGTGATCTTAATTTTGTTTCTGGGAGACAAGCAGCAGTCCAAGATGAATGGACACAAACACAGCCATGGCGATCAACAAGCGGAAAATCCAGGAGCTCCAAAAGTAGAAGACACGGCGGTGGGATGGACTAACTGACAAATCCTCTGGGGAAACATAAAGGGGAACAGGAGTCAGCAGGACAAACCCAAGGGCCATCAGTTAGCATTCCATGCACACTAACACAGGATAAATATTTTCACTTTGAAAAGTCCATCTAAGAAAGCAGGGACAGGGTGGAAGCAAGAATAAACTAAGCCAAAACCGTCACTCCAAAACTAGAACCTTCACCCCAATTTCAACTGCACCCATAATTCTTCTCACTCAACTCAAAATTTGCATCCAAAAATTCAGCCCTGGCAAACCTTCAGTCCCCAAACTCAGCCGTCACTCCTTTAAAACTCCCTCCTCCTCCTGGCGCTTCACACAAAGAACCCAAACCACAGGGTTTCCAGGGCTGTGAAGAGCAATATTAGAGCCATTCTCCCAATCACACAACTCCCCCACCCCCCAGCTCTCAGATCCCTTCCCCAAGGACTCCCCTCTCCCAGGCTTACTCTGCTACCCTAGAGTCCTCCCATAGAGTCCTAGAGGACCACCAGATCATCTAGTCTGACCACTTGTAGATCACAGGCCACCAGCACCACTCACCACCCACACGCTAAATCCATAGGCTTTCTGCCACTGGTGAGAGGCAGGAAGGAGAGGGACATGCCCCCCACAAGGGTTTACTATCCTGGTTATGTTCCCCTCCTTGTGGCTATCGGACTCAGGAACTCACTCCCACCTTCTCCCCCATCATCCATTACCTTCCCCAAGCCCGCTTTGCCTTGGACTGGGGATAATAAGGGGTTCCTCAACCACAGAGCTCTGGGGTGGGATCAAGACAAATCCTTGTGTCACACCTGTGTCTGAGCAGACCACCACCACGGCATTCGCATCAGCGTGGAGCTTCCTGTCCGACAGCCACGAGCTGCACTGAGAGATGTTGCGGTCTGCAGGGCCACAGAGTAGGCCATGGAGTGCCAATGAGTGGCCTGACACTGATGCTGGCATAGATGATGTCTCTAGAGGTGGTCCACAGCCCAGACTGCAACAGAGGATGGAGGAGGATGTGGTGCTCCAGCCCAGGCTGCACACAGTACCCCACCTGCCCTGGAGAAATACCTCTACACGCCCTGCACAGGGGCCTTGGTCACCTACCAGGCGCACACCAGAGATATCTGCAGAAGAAAGGGCAAGGTTGGGGACAGGTACTGCAGATTGATATTGGCCCTGTGTCAGAGTAGGGAGCAGCTGCAGTGTTTTCTCCATGGGAAGTTAGAGATCAGGACTGGGAATTGAGCCCTGGTCTTCAACATGATGACAAAGAGTGCTAGCCTCTAGGAGGCAGCCAACTCAGCCTCTAAGCTCTCCCAACACCTGCTGCAGCTGTAGGAGGACAGCAGGAGGCTAGAATTGCTAAATGAATCCTAATCTCCCATAAGGCAGCTCAGAGTGCCCAACTCTAGGTCTCCCAGGCCCATCTGCTTTGGCACTCCCAACCTCCATTGGCCCTGGCCAGGGAAAGCTAGAGACCTGGCACAGGTGACCCAAATCTGTATCTCCTGCATGGCAGTGCAGAGCTCTAACCCATAGGAGGTAACAGACTCAGCCTCCACAGCACTCGTGGTTCCTGGAGGGTGAGCAAGTTGGAAGGAGAATTGTCTCATGGCTGTCTGCACTAAACCATATGAGTTAATAGCAAAGAATGGAGTTACCTGATCCCGAGCATATTACTCCAACATCCTGAGCATGACTGCAGGACTCCTGCCCCATCCCATGGTTCAGACACTGTGAGAGATATTGCTCAATACCACGGCAGAATGTGGCCTCCAGCCACACAGGACCAGAGCCTGGTCCAAAGCTGAACCATGGAGATTCCAATGCAGATCCACACCCCAGCTGTTTGCACACTACCGCAGAGTCGTGAGCATCCCAGTGCTTATCACACACTGTGCCCCAGGTACCTTCATGCAGCAACTCCAGCCGCCCAGCGCAGGGGTTGTTCCCACCTACCAGTCGCACACTAGAAATACCTATGGGAAGAGAAGCAATGAGAGGAGTCAATGTGCTCCTCTCCAAGGGCTGAAATTCTCACACTCTCCTGTGTACCAGTGACCTATCAGTTTATACATAGGTGACCCGAACTGAAGTAGTTCTCAGGGCTGGCAGCCACATTTCCTCATTCCCTTACTGTCTGCTGCCACTATGTGATCACTTGGTGTCTTGCACTCCCATCCTTTTATGCTCACATACATCTCAAACTATTGCACCATGCTCCAGTGGCTAAGGCACAAAACTGGTGGTCAGGAGACCTCAGTTCCATTCCCATCAAGGTGTGATTTTGGGCAAATCACTTAACCACTCTGTGCATCTCGCAAATGGGATAATTATGTTTATCCACTACTGTAAAGTGTTTTGAAATTAAGTAAAAAATCTCCTGTATAAGTACAAAATAGGGCTGTCGATTAATCGCAGTTAACTCACATGATTAACTCAAAAAAATTAATCGTGATTAATCACAGTTTTAATCACACTGTTAACAATAGAATACCAATTGAAATTTATTAAATATTTTGGATGCTTTTCTACATTTCTATATATTGTATTCTGTGTTGTAATTGAAATCAAAGTGTATATTATTTTTATTATAAATATTTGCACTGTAAAAATGATAAACAAAATAAATAATATTTTTCAATTCACTTCATACAAGTACTGTAGTGCAATCTCTTTGTCATGCAAGTTCAGCTTACAAATGTAGATATTTTTGTTACATAACTGCACTCAAAAACAAAACAGTGTAAAACTTCAGAGCCTACAAGTCCACTCAGTCCTACTTCTTGTTTAGCCAATCACTAAGACAAGCACGTTTGTTTACATTTACAGGAGATAATGCTGCCTGATTCTTATTTACAATGTCACCAGAAAGTGAGAACAGGCATTTACATGGCACTTTTGTAGGTATTTACATGCCAGATAGGCTAAACATTATTATTATGCATTAATTAAATTTGTGACTGTTTTACCCGCATCCTGCCATATCTTTCATGTTATAGCAAACTCGGATGATGACCCATCACATGTTGTTCATTTTGAGAACAATTTCACTGCAGATTTGACAAAACGCAAAGAAGGTGCCAATGTGAGATTTCTAAAGATAGCTACAGCACTTGACCCAAGGTTTAAGAAGTGCCTTCCAAAATCTAAGCGGTACAAAGTGTGGAACATGCTTTCAGAATTCTTAAAAGAGCAACATTCCAATGCGGAAACTACAGAAGCCGCACCACCAAAAAAGAAAATCAACCTTCTGCTGGTGGCATCTGACTCAGATAATGAAAATGAACATGCGTTGGTCCACACTGCTTTGGATTGTTATCGAGCAGAATCCCTCATTAGCATGGACGCATGCCCTCTGGAATAGTGGTTGAAGCATGAAGGGACATATGAATCTTTAGCACATCTGGCACGTGCATATCTTTGATGCCGGCTACTACAGTGCCATGAGAACACCTGTTCTTACTTTCAGGTGACATTGTAAACAAGAAGCGGGCAGCATTATCTCCTGCAAATGTAAACAAACTTGTTTGTCTGAGCAATTGGCTGAAGAAGAAGTAGGACTGAGTGGACTTGCAGGCTGTAAAATTGTATATTGTTTTATTTTTGAATGCAGTTTTTTTTACATAATTCTACATTTGGAAGTTCACTTTAATGATAACGAGATTGCAGTACACTACTTGTATTAGGTGAATTGAAAAATACAATTGCTTTTGTTTTTTTTACAGAGCAAATACTTTTAATCAAAAATATTCTTTAAGTGAGAAAGCCAAGGAGACATATCTGTTGTATGAATAAATGCCACATCCAGTTGTTTGCAGGCATCTTTTGCTCTAAACCTAATTAAAGTTTCCACACTTTTGCCGACAGTCCTAAGTCTAGTTCTGAAAAGCCCAAAGAATGGAGGGAACAGTGAATTTGAAAACAGCCAAGCGAACTTTAGAATATGTATCTTCTTGAGCTGTTCCTCTAGACATAAACTTGGAAGGCACTGTAGATTCATTTGACGAATGCAGAGCCAATAATTAATATAAAGGCTTTGGTCGAAATAGCACATTCCCCTACCTTTGCCCTGGGTAAAGCAGCAGGGGTGTAATTTGGAGCATTTTCTTTAAAATGCTGTTTTGCTCAACCCTTACTCCCTAAGACTCTTCCAGCCCCAAATTCCCATGAGATATAGTACTTGGGCACAGACTTTAGCCATGAAAACGCTACAACTGGGGTGATTAGATTTGCCCCCATAGACCTGAGTGAAACATAGCACTGCTTGTATAGAATTTAAGGCTTTCTTCTTTCTTCTTTACACCATCTATATGTTTGTCCCATTAACCATCATGAAAAGTTTGGCTGTGCAGGGCTCTCAGGAGATAAAATAGCCTAGCTCATATACTAGCCCATGCAAGTTTCTCCGAGAGATGACCTCTGTCAATCCAAAGCCAATTTCATGTCGACAAAGGCTGCATCACATTTTCCCTGCTTGAAGGAACAATATTTGTGAATCAATGAGAGGACAAAGCAGTTAGCAATGGTAGAGCGGTCATTCAGACTTATTCCTTGGCAAATAGCCTGTTTATTCCTGGGCAAATAAATTACAGTTCTCTGCCTAATATTCTGCTCACCCCAGGAGATATCTAGTGTAAATTTTAAAAACTACATGTAAGAGGCTAACTGGCAGTAATTCCCAGGATCATTTCTGTCACCGATTTTATAAAGTGGAACAATAATACCTGTGGACCAATCTGAGGAGAAAACTCCTGTATTTTTTATATTAATAAAAAGTTTTGCTCACACAGGGGCCCACCAATCAATATTGTCCGTACAACTTCTGCTGGGATGAAATCCCCTTCCTGTCTTGTCAAAGCCCATTGCCACCAACTTCCAAAATAGAGATGAATTTTTCTCTGTGATTGCAAATTCAAGTTACTTCCAATTTTGGGTGTTCCAATTTTTCCTTATTCAGCATTTTTTAATATTCCCTTCTAAGGATAAACTAATTTCTTAATAGAAACTGGGGAATCATTATTTCTGGCAGCCTTTGCAATGATCTGAAGCTGTTTCTGAATATTGTACCCATCGGAATCATACCAGATTCTTTTATCTTTTAAAGGATAAAAATAAAACTTTTTGGTGGTAGGGTCATCCTGTAATTTTTTAACAATCTAAGTAAATACTGTATAAACTGATGCTGGATCACTAAGGTCCAAAAGTTAGTTCTTTAAAACCAACAAATCACTGGATGTGAGTTTCTTTCTGATTTTAGACTTAACTTCATCAATGATTTAGACAATGGCATAGAGAGTACACTTATAAAGTTTGCGGACGATACCAAGCTGGGAAGGGTTGCAAGTGATTTGGAGGATAGGATTAAAATTCAAAAAGATTTGGACAAGTTGGAGAAATGGTCTGAAGTAAACAGGATGAAATTCAATAAGGACAAATGCAAAGCACTGTACTTAGGAAGGAACAATCAGTTGCACACATACAAAATGGGAAATGACTGTCAAGGAAGGAGTACCATGGAAAGGGATCTGGGGGTCACAGTGGATCATAAGCTAAAAATGAGTCAACAGTATAACGCTGTTGCAAAAAAAGCAAACATCATTCTGGGATGTATTAGCAGGAGTATTGTAAGCAAGACACGAGAAGTAATTCTTCCGCTCTACTCCATGCTGATTAGGCCTCAACTGGAGTATTGTGTCCAGTTCTGGGCGCCACATTTCAGGAAAGATGTGGACAAATTGGAGAAAGTCCAAAGAAGAGCAACAAAAATTATTAAAGGTCTAGAAAACATGACCTATGAGGGAAAATTGAAAAAACTGGGTTTGTTTAGTCTGGAGAAGAGATGACTGAGAGGGGACATGATAACAGCTTTCAAGTATATAAAAGGTTGTTACAAGAAGGAGGGAGAAAAATTACTCTTTTTAATCTCTGAGGATAGGACAAGAAGCAAGGGGCTTAAATTGCAGCAAGGGCGGTTTAGGTTGGACATTAGGAAAAACTTCCTAACTGTCAGAGTGGTTAAGCACTGGAATAAATTGCCTAGGGAGGTTGTAGAATCTCCATCATTGGGGATTTTTAAGAGCAGGTTGGACAAACACCTGTCAGTGATGGTCTAGATAATATTTAGTCCTGCCATGAGTGCAGGGAACTGGACTAGATGACCTCTCGAGGTCCCTTCCAGTTCTATGATTCTAATGGATTCCATTTAATTCACCTTGAGTTTACAGCTTCAGAATTAGGAGTCAGACACAATCTGCCAGCAGTTGTCTGGGGGAAAATGGTTAGAGGATAGGCGTTGGTGATTACTGTCTGATTTAAAAGTGACTAAAAGTTAGAGAAACAAGACCAGCTTAAAATTGTAACTGTGATATAATCCATCATATTGTCCTCTCTATAAGAGGAAAGGCAACCATTTAAAAAAAGTAACAAATAGAGTCTTTACAAAATAATAATATCCTAAAAAAATTCTTTCCAATTTTCCACACAGCTTCCGGACCCCTGCACGTTCCCTACTATTTAAAGGTCAAAATATCAAAAGCAATTAGAACTGAGTGAATTAGGAAGCATAACCTTAGTTAATGCATCTTTGTTTTCAATAAAAAGCTTAATAGGGCAGTTCAGTGTTCACACTGGAGTATGTCCAGTAGAGTTAATTGTGAAATGTTTTTTCCCTATCAACTTTTTTATTACATTTTTTTTAATTCGCTACAAATTTTTTTGAGTTCTCAACAAAAGTTCCAAAACTGACATTTTCTTGGTTTTCAGCAACCAGAGTTGATTTAAGATTAACTAAAATAAACCACTTTTAAACTGAAATAAGAGCCCTTTGCACCAGTTTAACTAAATCATATGTTAAGTTAAACCCAGGCAGCTTTCTCATGCAGACAAGGCCACTCTCTTCCAAACTGACACATTTCCCACCCAATGGGAATTTTTCATCCTAAAATTATAACTCCCCCTTTTCTGAAAGGAAACGAGA